TCTGTCTTTCCCGAGTGAATACATGTACCCTATAGCAAAACCTTAAAAAAAAAAAAAGGTAGCCCCCACAGGGGGAGCATGGGCAGTGGGGAGCTGCTGAGGGTACTAGAGCCATAGAGAAAAGCTCAGGGTTCAGATGCTGGGCAGACCTGCACGTAACACTGCCCCTGGCTGGCCGGAAGGGTGGTCACAGCGTGGGAAGACTCGGCCAGGGGTCCCTGTCTCTCCTAAGTAAATAAAACTTACAGAAGAAGTAGGGCCAGTGTCACCATTCAGCAGCGATGGGCTGCTTCAGAGGAAGCCAGATCCCACATGGTCACCCTGGTTCAAACCCACTGCCCGCTCAGCCCAAAGCACAGCGGGCACGAGCGCCCAAGATCTCATGGGCTGGAGGACTGGGGAGACGGGATCGCGGCATGACCAGACCCTGCGGAAGCTGCTCTGCTCTCCCTCCCTCTCTCTCTCTCGTGCTTATGTGCGCTATCATGAACGAGGCGGGTAGTGATCTGAGGCGCAGCTGTAGAAACAGCCTATCTGGGATGAGGGCTAGTCCTCCCAAGATCAGCCTATGTTGAGCTGCGAACTTCAGAGACGTCAGTCATTTCTCTTCTAGGGACCTCCATTTTTCCATCTGTGAAATGGGCTTTCATAAATAAACTAATAAATAAGGACATCTTATTCTGTCTCAGATCCGTAGGAAGAGGACTGGAAATAATTCCTATGGAGCGATTTAAGAGTTAAAAGAGCGGCAGGTGTACAGTCAAGCTTGAACTTCAAACCTGTAGCCTGGCCTCCTGCCACCGCCTGGTACTCCTGATTTGCTCCGGTGCGCACGCGCGGACTCAGCCAGCTGAGCCTCGCGCGCAGGGACCACATCTCCCAGAATGCTCCGCGCCTTCGCTTCCGTCTCGGGCGCCGCAGCTCCAGGGCGCACGCGCAATCCAGGTCGCGGAGCCTCGGGTACTCGAACCACATCTCCCAGAGTGCTCTGCGGCCTCGCCGCCGCCGCCGCTGCCGCGAAAACCAACATGGCCGGGAGTAAGTGCTGGCGCTGCGGGTGTTCAGGTCTCGGGCAGGTCTGGGGGTCCCCGAGCAGCCTCGGAGCCATGGCGCGGTGGAGCCCTCGTGGAGGTGGTGGGATCTGTGCAGAAGGGGGCCGCAGAAGCTACGAGGAGGTTCCTCCCGGGCGGGAGTGGTACGGGAGGGTTAGAGGTCACCGGGGGCAGCGCCTGCAGGGATGACCCTCCTCGCCCACCCCTACAGGACTCGCCACCTTCCTCAGGAATGCTTGGTCCAAGGAGCCGGTGCTGGTCGCGTCCTTCGCCATCGCGGGACTCGGTGCGTGAGTGCCCGGGGCGCGAACTGGCGCTGCACCCGCGGACATGCCCTGCCTGCCCTGCCCCAGCGTTGTCACCCCGCCGCCACCTCGCGCCCAGGCACCTCCACGCAGGACGGAGGAGAGCTGCTCAGTCCCTGCTGTGCGGTGCCAACACCTGAGCGCCCCAGGGATATGGCGCTCACACCCAAATTCGTTTATTTTAATGCTTTAGCACGTTTCAGCGCTGGCTGGCCTAGGACAGCCTTTTTATGCCCCCTCGCCCACCCTCCAGAACACTTGGCTCCCAAAAATTTTATTTATTTTTTTTTTATTTTAATTTGACCAGAGAGGGAGGGCAGGGAGAGAGTGAGAGAGAGAGAGAGAGAGAGAAAAAGGGAGAAAGCAAGCCGCCAGTCTCGGGACTTGAACTGCGGTCAGCCATGTGGGAGTCCAGCGCCCTTAGCCACCACGCCACCTGCCGGCCCCACTTTTAACTGTGTGAATTCCTCTGGAACATTCCCAAGGCACTTCCTGCAGGGTGCTCCATGACCACGCCCTGGCCCCACTCCCCACTCTCTAGGTGGTCCTTGGTTCCGGCTCCCACCCTCACCTCCAGCTGCTGCTAAAGGAGTAAACCCTGTGTCCACCAAGAGGCCTCCCTGCCCCCACTGCCTCTGTGGGGGCTGCAGGGGCTCTTACCCTGAGCCTCCCGTGTCTCCACAGCCATCGTCCTGCCCTCACTCAGCCCCTACACCAAGTACTCCACCATGATGAACCAGGCCACCCCCTACAACTACCCAGGTGAGGCCAGGCCCGCCTGCCCCGCTGTGGGGAGGGCTGGCTGTCCTAAGCGGGGACCGGGCCACTGGCTTAGTCTGGGTATGACTCGTACTGTTCTGTTCCTTGTGTCTGTCATCTCTCCAGTTTTGTCCTCTAGACCCCTTTCTCTGGCTTTCGGGGTCTCCATCTCCCCAAGCCCCGGCTGGGTTCCCCGTCTGGGTTGGATGCCCTCCTAGCCCATGGCTGCCCCATCTCTAGGTCTCTGCCTACCTCCTGCATGGCTGACTCTGGCCCTGGCTCTCATCTCTCCCCTGGAGTCCCCTTCCCTCCCTGCATAGAAACCGCAGGGCCCTGGCGATCTGGTCTCAGGGCCCGTCCTGCCCCACAGTGCCCCTCCGAGATGACGGGAACATGCCCGACGTGCCGAGCCACCCCCAGGACCCACAGGGCCGCAGCCTGGAGTGGCTGAAGAAACTGTGAGCAGCTGTGTTGACGGGGGGTCCCCAATAAAATGTGAACCCCCGAGGGTCCAAGAGTGTCTGCTTAGAGGGGGGACGAGAGACAGTGAACGAGACGAACGTGGGGTCAGTTTATTGGGTTGGCGGGGTCAGTCAAAGGGTGGGCTGGTTAGGGTGGGGTAGGGCAATAGCTTGTCTGGCCCCCGAGAAACCCAGCTGGAGTCCAGGCCCTCGTCTGCCTCGAAGCCAAAGTCTTCTTCGACCTTAATCTGGGGAGTGGGAGCGAGGTGTGAGTGGGCCTGGGAACCCGAGGTGCGCTGCACCCTCACCACTGCTGCCGCCTCGGACCGCCCACCCGCTCAGGTCCGGCTTCCGGGGCTGCCTGCTCTCCGCCTGCTCCTCCCAAACCTCTGCGGACTTTCCCACAGCTTTCTCCAGCCCTTCCTCCCCTTTCCCCACTTGTCCCCAGCCTGGGACCTCACACCCCCAGGGAGCCTGAGACCTCTCACCTGCACCGGGGCCAGTTCTGGGGGCAGTGAGGCTCCTGCTCGGCGCCCATCCCGGGGTGCCCGCCGCCTCTTCCGCCCACTGGGCCCCTCTCCAGGGGCCGGGCTGCTGGGTTCCAGGGGTGCTGGGGTCCTTCTGGGTGGGGAAAGCCCCTCTTTCTCCGGAGGCTCGTTCTCAGCGTTGCCCGGCGTGGGGGCGTCTGTGCCCTGGCTGCCCTCGTCCTGGTGGGGGAAGGTGGCAGGTGAAGGCTGTGTCCTGGGCTTCCTGTGCCCACCCGCTGGGCACCCACGCTCACCTCCAGCAGGATGGCGAGCTGGCTGGCCCGGTAGTCATCTCCGTAGGAGTCCAGCACCCTCATGAGGAACCTGCAGGGACAGAGCTGCCAGTGGCTGAGTGCCCTCTAGCCGCGGGGAGGGGGACATGGACCGACTCTGCTCGCAGAAGGCTCAGCTCTGTGGTCGAGACCCTGGAGCCAGCCTGCCCAGGCAGGACCTGGGTAGACAAGGCGACTGACATGGCAGCCTTGGCAGGGCCACATGTGCAGCCTCGTGTCCCCTCTGACGTGTTGCCCGCATGCCCAGTACACACCCGACGGGAGCGGTGCAGTAACCGGACAGTGTGCGCCGTGGGCCTGCTGGGCGGCGTCTTACTCCAAACCCAGCTGGCTCAGGTGCAGCGGACATCAGGACGAGGTCCCACGGGGACAGACGGCGAGCAGGTGGGCCGACACGGGGTCAGAAGGCTGGGGAGATGGATGAGGCTGGACTGCACTTCGAGGGAGGCGGAGGGCCTCACTGAGAAGGCGCAGGAGGGAGTCGGTCACCTGCCTGGTGTGGTCTGGGCAGAGCACAGAGCAGGTGCAGCGGGTCACGGGACAGAGGGCTTGGTTGGCCGCTGGCAGGACGCTCACTTCTCCGAGTCATTTGGGAACCACCCCAAGCTCGGGGCAGGGAAGTGACCTGGCAGGTCTCACATTTTCAAAGGCCCACTGGGTCTCTGCTGCGGCAGGGCAGGTCTGGGAGGGCCCGAAAGTGGGGATTTACTGCAAGCCCTGCTCAGTCACACCGGGGAGAGTGCAGGAAGGAGGACTGTCCTGACCACCCTCCCACCCTCGTCGCTGGGGACAGTTGAGGGGTGCAGACACCTTCCCCAGGCCACGGCAAAACCCTGGCTACTGCCGGAAGTGGGGGCTTTGACCATAAAGACCACCGGCCCTTCCATATATCAGACGCTCACTTCTGTGTGCACGTTAGATAGCGCTAGATATTGAGGGTCACTGTCCAGCCTGCCCTGGGGGCCGCGGCCAGGGCCGGAAGGTCGGCAGCACTGGAGGCCTGAGAGGAGACGACCTCGGCCTCAGCTGTGCAGGCGGTGGCGTGGGCACTGGGGCTGGCCACGGCTCGCCCTGCGTCGGCCTGCACTGCCAGGTGCAGGTGACCCTGACTCGCTGGAGGGCTAGGAGGAGGGACCCCAATCTCTCTCATAAAGCAAGCTTTAAAAAAGGGGAAACAGGACCAGCAGGTGGCATGGTGATCAAGGAGCTGGGCACTCCCACATGGCCGACCATGGTTTGAGTCCCAGACTTGGTGGTTTGCTTTCTCACTTTCTCTCTATCTCTCTGGTCAAATTAAAATAAATGAATGAATAAATAAATCATTCTTTATAATAAAAAGGGGGGAAAGAAAACAGCAAAACGACCTAGGATCTGGGCTAGGGGATGGCGTGGTAGTTATGTCTCTGAATCTCACATAGTTGACAGTGTGGTTCAAGTCTCAGACATGGTGGCTTGAAAAACATGCCAGGTTGAGACCAGCAGTTGGCGTAACAGCTGAGTCTCTGGATGCACATGTAGTAGATCACGATTCGAGTCCCAGATCCAGTGGCTTAAACTCACACTGGGTGCGTGTGCATGCGTGCCCAAGATCCTAAGAGGAGAATGGAGGAGAAGGGATTGCGGGGTGGCCAACCCCCCTGGGGGGCGATTTCTCACTTTCTGTTTCTTGTCTCTGTCTGTCTGGCGAGCGCACGCGCCCTATAGCAAAAACCTCTCAAAAAAAGAAGAAAAACAAGCCAGGTGGGGCCAGCGGATGGCGTAGTGGTTACGTCACTGGACTCTCACATGGCCAACAGAACACAATTTGAGTCCTAGACCTGGTGGCTTAAAACTCATGCCAGGCACATGTGCGTGCCCAAGATCGCAAGAGAACGGAGGAGAAAGAACTGTGGAGTGGCATCCCCCTGCCTGGTTGACTTTTCACCTTCCCTCTCACTGTCTCTGTCTCTTTCTTAAAAAGAGAAATGTCAGGTGTGTCTGTGCATGCATGCCCCAAATCCCAAAGGGGAACAGAGAAGGGACCGTAACAGTCCCCTGGGAGACTGTCCCTCTCTCCCGTGAGCACACGCTCCCAATGGAAAACCTAAACAAGGAGAGAAACCTGGGGGGCTGCGAATTGCACACAGAACAGCACGGCCTGGGGGACCTGCTGTCGGCCTTGGCCACCAGCCACCTGCAGCTGCAAGCAGAAGACAGCTGGGGCGCTAGAGGAGCTGGGTTCTGAACCCACTTGGTTCTGGCTGACTGTGGTGGAAGTGGCCGCCTGTAGGTAACCAAGGCCTTTGTGGTAAGAGGCATTTAGGGAGCCAAATTTTCCATTTCACTTTAATGAATTTAACGGAGGGTCTTGAATATTAGCTGCAGTTCAGTTTACAGGAAGCTCCCTCCCCCGGTGGCTGGTGGCTGCTGACTGGACAGGGAGGTGCAGGGACCCTGGGCCAAGTCCAGCTCATGAGAGAGGTCAGGGGAGGCCAGTAAGGAGCTTCCGGGAGGCAAGGGACTCCCAGGCTGCTGCGGCTGTAACCTAGACTACCAGAAAGTGCCCGGGAAGGTGGCAGAGCTGGGGACTGAGAGGTATGACCCGCAGGCGGGGCTCAGACCATGGAGCCCCTGTCAGCAAGGCTCACTCCCTGGTTTACTGGGGCAGTCAGTGAGGGGCAGGGTCAGCGCCAACGGCAGAGCAAGCTGGCGCATGCCAGGACACCTGGCCTCCCTGGCACAGTGACCTGGAGGTGGAGCTCCCACGGGTTAACCCAGAGAGGACGACCTCGACCTCGTGTGGTAGGAAGCTGAGCTCGCAGGGGGCTGGCACCAGCTCTGCCAGAGCTGCCCACCCGCTGGCCCCCTCGGCCCCGGAGCCAGCTCTTCCCAAGGCCTGACTGTTCCCCGTGGCCCCAGCCCCAGCACAGCCAGGGGACGGCAGCAGGGGCTTGGGGCCCGTTACCTCCGCTCTTGCTGGAGCCTCCGCGTTATCCTTTGCACCTGGTGGAGCCTGTTCAAGACCCGCTCGTTCACCTGCAGGTGGAGAGAGGTCAGCCTGAGTCGCTCAGCTCTGACGTTCAGTGGCTACCTCCGAGCTGCCTGTGCCCTCAGCCTGGAGACTCAGGCTGGACACTGCCCAGGGCTGGAGGCCGGTGCAGTCCACCCCTGCCACCTGCCCCCAGTCCCTGCTCCTGGGCCTCGTCTGCTCCTGCCGTGCTGTCCACGCTGATGCCCAACCTCTGTGCACCCTCCCGACGTGGGAGCGTTCCACATGCTGCCCTCCCAGCCTGGAGCCCTCCTGCTGGGACATCTGCACCCCACGCCACTCCCCAGGGCTTCGCTCCCTTGCAGGGAGTCAGCCCGGGCTGTCCTCCGCTGGGACCTCTCCCAGTCCCCACACCTGCCCACACACTGCTGTCTTGTTAACGCTCCATGTTCTCGCTGCCTCCTCCCCCAGCATAAGCTCCAGGACAGTGTGTGCTGTGCCCCCAGGGACTGGGTAGAGCTGCCCCAGCAGGCCTCGGCGGTCACGGAATGGAAGGACCGCCCAGGCTGGCGGGGTCCAGACCAGGGCAGGAGGTGGTTCAGGCCTTTGGTGAGGACCCGCGGGCCAAGGCCTGAATGACAGGTCAGTGAAAAGTGCAGAGCAGGGAGGCAGGGGACAGCCTTGCAGCGGGAGGACCCAGCCTAGACATGGAGGGCAAGAGGACGGCAGAAGCACGTGCTCCCGGCTCAGAGACCTGGCTTCAAATCCGTCCTGCCTTCTTGGCTGCGGGAGCTCGGGCAAGTGACTGGACCTCCCTGAGCCTCAGGTCCCTGCGTTTGTCAGAGGGGGACAGTAACAGGCCCTATTCCTAGGGGCGGAGGCTCGGAGCCTGCAGCCATCTCTGCGTGCCGCCATAGTGGCGTGCTGGACATCCTGCCGATCTCGAGGGCACGGGCAGAGGGCAGACGCGGGGCGCTCACTAGCCATGCTCCAGAGTCACTGTGATGGCGAAGCGTGGTCGCACAAGTGTGGGGCGATCGGCCCCAGTTTGACGTGCAACACAAAGATCCAGAGGGGCAGAACAACCTGTCCCAGCCTGTCAGTTTGGTCCCACTGTCCTGACCACCTCAGCTGTCACGCCGGACGGGAGCCCTGGGGTTCTTTTTCTAGGGCTGTAATATGCACATACAAGTAAAATGCCTCACTGGGCGGGAAAAAGCCGAGGCTCAAATCCAGTCCCCCTAGGCCTTGGCATCCAGACAGGGTTTGGATGTCACTCCCGCTCTAGGCGCAGACTGCTCCCCTCCCCGTTTCAGGACCACTGTTGGGGCAGGAGTGTGTCCCCTCAGCATGGGGCCTTGGAGACAGGGCCCTCGGTGAAGGGTCAGGGTGGGCCCCACTGCACACAACTGGTGTCCCTATGAGAAGGGAAGCAGGGTGCGGACACGGAAAAGCCGGGGGAGACGAGGCAGATGCTGTACGCACAATCACCCGCACACCTCCGATCGGGGAAAGCCTGGGCAGACTCTCCCTCCCGCCTTGGAGGGAAGCACCCCTAACACCCGTGATCATGGACTTCCGGCCCCCAGAGCTGTAAGACAGGAGGTTTTGGTACCGTGCCTGCGTGTGGCCTGGTCACAGCCGACCTAGCAGCCAACGGAACCGTCTTCAGTATTCACACGTCCAGCCCCGGCCCCCGCCTCCATTTGAACCCTTTCGATGGCTCCCCACACCCCTCAAA